TGCTATACTCAATATTTTAAAGAACATCAAGACAAGTGCAATAAATATAGACCAAATTAATATTGATAAAATTACAACACTACCAGATTCATTGTAAATTATCATAACATGTAATATATATTGGTAGGACATAGGCCTCTCCTTAGAAAGGCCTATGTCCAGCAGTGGACTATTTAAGGCTGTAGATGATGATGATGATATATTGTTAATAGTTCTATTATCACCTGTATATTTCCAAACATGTAGAAGCACTCTATAGTGAGACCTATACCTAAGATTAGCCTTCCGAACATTACAAGGGACCTGCGACCAGTAAGCATACTTCCCTGTTTGTCGAAAGTGCTGGAAAGAGTTGTATCTGAACAGATCATGAAATATCTTGAAGAAAATAGCATTCTTTCAGACAAATAGTCTGGGGTTAGGAGCGGTCATGGCACTACAACGGCTTTGTGGGATGTAGTAGGTAATAGAAGCTAGGGACTGTAGAGATGATGCCATTGATTCAACCCTACTGCTATCCAAATGAGAATATTATGGGTTTGATTCTCATGCAATAAAGTGGTTTCACAGTTACTTTACAGGAATTATGCAAAAAGTAGAAGTACATAAAGAGGATGGATGAACTATGGCGTCATCCCTTATTTCTGTGACAAGGCTTAATGTTGAAGCCACATTTATTTATATTATACACAGCTGACATGACTAATTACTTCCTAAATTGCAGATACCACATGCATGCAGATGACACTCAGTTGTATTTGTCTTTTAAACCTAATGAAATCAGGTAGGTGGTCGATAGAATTAATTAAGACCTAGAAAGAGTGAACAACTCTTTCTAGGTCTAGAGACCACTCCTTAGTTAATTCCAACAAAATCGTAATTTAGGATTTTGGGTAGTGGTGGTGGTAGCGGCTAATCCCATAAACAGCAATTATTATAAATGTTTTTTAGACTAAAAATTATGTTTAACATCCGAGACTACCTTAACATGCCACTAAGGAAACAACTGGTAGACAATCTTGTATGTGTGTATGTCCAGGCTTACTGGCTAGAACATAGAATGTTATAATAATAATAATATATAATTTATTGTCTCCAAAAGATACATACAGGGAAAACACACATGAGTTATTTCAATCGCAACATGTACACTAATTTTGGTTGACCTCTGGTACCCAAAGTAAGATTTAACTTGTGGTTTAACTCGTTCTTAATTGCAACAGGTAGTCGAAGTGAAAGTGTATTGTATAGTAGTTGCATATGCATGAGGTGAATTTCTTAAGGTAAGGATGACCTACAGAATACATATTATAATTATTATAATTATATATATCGCACTATTTTATGTTCATATTTAATATGTTACAAAGTATGTATATAAGTGGGTGTGTGGTGTGTGTGATGCATTTGAATTATAGTATACTTAGTTTAATCAAATTTTCTGTATCTTCATAAGATTTGGACAAGAGTCATGCAGTTAATAGATAGATGTCGCAGTATTCATTAGCCACATTTCCTAAGTGACAGCTTACGACATTGTGGTTGCGCGCAGCAAACGCACATCTAAAACTTTGGGTTTTCAGGCCTTGTGTTCACGGCACTTTCTTGTAACTTGAATGTCATATTCCAGACCATCTTGCTATCTGCAGATTGTTTCAAGCACAAAGAGCTGTCTGACAGTAAGCAGTGCACATTCGTGATATAATTATGCAGTCAGATATCTAATAGGCTTAAAAGTCATTAAATTAAGGACTGCTTTTTGTGCTCGCTCCAGGGGTAGAAGATACGACTTCACAGTTCCATCCCAGACAGATATACAATATGTTAAAACAGATTGACACAGTGCATAATAAACTGATTTTAGGGTCTCAAAATCAGCTGCTTGACGTAATTTTTTGAAAATGTATATCTTCTTGCTAACGCGGGCAGTAATATTAGTCAGTTGGTATTACCATAAAATATGATTATCAATAAATACTCCCAGATACTTTGTGTGGGCTGATCTCAGTACAGTTGGGCAGTCGCAGGTATTAGTGAATGTGTATGTCGAACAAGCATGAACTCTTAAATTGAATATTTCCAAAGATGATTGAGTTATAGCTGTCTTTGAGAAATTGATGTAAGTAGTTTTCTTGAGGTTAAGTGTTAGAAGATTATTCGTTAGCCACTGCATTACACGACTAAGAGCGCATTCTGCACGAGCAAACACTTCTGGCCAGTTTGCAGTGTCATCTGCGTAGGTAATTATAGAGGAATAGGGAAGGGATAGGGAGCACAGGGAGTTTATGTAGAGGAGGAAAAGGGTTGGGCCAAGGATCGATCCCTGTGGGACGCCAACAAGAAGGGGCGCTGCAACTAATAATGTCGTCTATCTTTACACACTGTGTCCTATCAGAAAGACAATCTAAAAAAAATCCGAGCACATTTCCGCGGATGCCCATTCTCCCCATATCCAGTAAGAGATGTGGAACAGAGACAGTGTGAAATGCTTTGGTAAGATCAAGAAAAATCGACAGGTACTTTTGTCCATTATCAAGGCTGTTTACTATTCCATCAACTAGAGAAGCCACAGCATCTTCAGTCGACATTCCTACCATAAAACCAAATTGATTCGGCGCTAAAATACTGTTTTTCTGTAAGAAGTTTGTTAAGCGGATGTTTAGCACCTTCTCTAGGATTTTGGATAGTGCAGTCAGGACAGATATGGGCCTGTAATTATTGACACTGGCTCTGCCTCCACCGTTAAAAATAGGATCCATAAAGGCCCTCTTAAAAGATTTTGGGGAAAATCCCCTCAGCATTAAAAATATTGCAAATGTGGGTTATTATTGGTACTGAGCACTTTGGTAATAAATGAGCAGGTGTCGCGTCCCATCCGACAGCAGCATCTTTACGCAAACTTCGAATAATTAACTCAACCTCCGACTCATCCGTTGGCAAAAGGACAAAGGAGTTAGCATTAATGTTATCATTCGGCAGTTGATTATTTTGTATGTTAGAACTAATTTGTAATGCTAAGTCGTTACCACTGCGGGAGAAGTACTCATTAACACGGTTTACAGATGTCAAATTATCTCTGTCTATATTTAGAAGTCCAATAGGAGATTTTTTAATGGAACATGTGAGTAATGTTTTTAACTATTTTCCAAGTAGACCGTGGGTGATTTCGTGCTTTATGCAGTTCATTATTCTAGTAGTTATATTTTAATCTTTTTAGTAGTTTATTGCAGAAGTTATGATATCTGAGATAGGGTAATTTAAGGGTGTAATTATCAAGATTAATTTTAAGCTGTACCCTCATGGAGTCGTATACATCTTAACAATCCTTTAGTGATCTAAGGTTTGAAAATTACTTGTTTAGATGGTTTAGATGGATTATTCTAGAGTGCTTCTGTATTAGTGACCCAATCTTTGCAATCAACATCTCAGATGCAATGTTAAATTAAGATGTATCTATTATTTGCGAGAAATCGGTGTTCGAAACATCCGTGTAAATAGAATAATAATCTACTTTGACGAAGTGAGTTTAACGTTTCTTTGGTCTTAATAATGTTTACACGATAAAGACAACTAGTGCGTGGTATGTGATACCAGAATCAATTATTAGTGTAATGGTTTTAAGATTTGATTTCAACAAAACATGATTCAAACAACTTTTGTCAAAACGCCTGCGCTCGTTAGTGTTTTAAAATCCCTAGACGCTATCATATAACGCTTTATATGAATGACAACAACATTATTAAAATGGAATCCAGAAGGAAGCGACATCTGGCTACCTTAATGTATAAAGTGGTTAACAAACACACCCCTACATACTTGTATGAAAAAATAGACTGGAGACATAATCACTTCTCTTACTCCATCAGACTATTGCATAAAACTGAAATATATAAACCTATCAAGACCTCAATTTATACTTTATAATTTTTCTATTTCGCGTTTGTTTAACACCTAACCAAAAAATTATACCATTAATTAGACACGAATCTGTGGCGATAGATGACGTAAGTAGCTGTACAATCCTTTATCTTACATTTGGATTGTATGATGACTTATGAGTGAAATTTGCAGTCCGCCGTAATTTACACGGTTTATATTATATCACTAAGTTAGTCATACTATTATCTGAATAACCATGAGAGTCATATTTGTGTAATTCGGAATTCCTATCAATGTAAGAGGTCTCAATAAATATGACTGAACTTGTCATCTGAAATTCGATCAGCAATCACTGTATCATAGCTAGTACTGGAACTACACACACGGTTATATAGAAACTTACCACCACACACTTTGTTTAACATAATTTGAATTATTAAGGGGTAAAAAGTGGCTTCAAATGGTTCTTGTTATAAAATGCCTAGTTTACATGCGTGCCGAGGCTTGGCAAACACCTACAAGCTCCAAGTCTTTACTTACCTTACTTACTTTAGTAACGCTTGGATGCCATTTACACGCTTGCGAGTGTGCTATTGTGTTCCGGACAGGCAAACATAGTAGACGAGGACATATTTTATTCGAAAATATAAACGACGGCACTAAACTGAAAAAAATATTCTATTGCCCTACTGCTCAAATAAACTGTTCAATCAGTAGAGCATTGAGACTTAATGTTGATTCCCGACTGCTCAACTACAGTACTTGTAATATCAAATTGAGCAGTAGGGAACAAGCACGCGCCAACGTGTAAATACGTCGCAAAAGCTTGCCGCAGGCTGCCTTTGATCTGTGTTCAAAAACCGACACTAGTACCGATCGGCGACGAGCCAAACACGCCGTTTACACGTTTGTGTTTATGGACACATGTCGAGGCTCGCCAGTACCTTTTTCTGACCATGGTTTGTTTCAAGCCTGCCGAGTATTTAAACATTTTATTGGTTTAATACATTAAAATTTGTTAACAATATAATTAATGATTCTATTAGGATAGAATACGTCATAAAGTAACTTTTCTCTTAATGTATATATGTAACGTATATCACGAGCGCGTTTAAAGCGCCTTATTGATAGCCCTCGTCTTGCATAAACTGTCGCAGCCGGTCGCGCAGGGCGTAGTTGGGCAGAGCGCGCGCGTTGCGCAACCGTCGCGCCGACACAGGCGACACCGCACCATCTGCAAAATGTCATTAATAATACTTAATTACTCACATCAACGAAACTTCCCAACTAAAAGTCTCTCACTTTTGACCGGTAACAGTCAGTCTGGTTACCATAGTACAGACTTTGCCTAGTTTTTGATCAGACGGCCGTGTGTGAAATGTGTGAAAATATTTTTGACACACGTAATTTGCGGCATTCTCTACCAGTAAAAATTATTTACTATTTCATTAATTGTGTTGGTCGTTGGGTTGCTAGATTCCTAAATCCAGATGTAAACGATGTATTCGGTTCTCGGTTCTCGAAGGGCATCTCAGGCAACTAAAACGCGAAGAACTTCAACATTTTCCTTATTATGTGTTATATTAATTGGCCGTATGCGGTTAAACGTTAGCGCTACAGTAGGTGCTGTCAATCTCATATTGCAACGATGTTCATTAAAAAATGTATATCTATAGGTATACCGGCAGCGATGAACCAGTCGAGTATGTTGGCACGCTCGTACGTGTAGCCGTCGGCGGCCCGCGCGGGCTCACGCAGCAGGCGGTGCGACAGCGGGCACAGCAGCGCGTGCGGCGCCGAGCGCTCCTGCGCACAACACACCACACTCAATCCGCTGCCTTTACAAGATACTATATTTCTTTACGTGTAGTTCCGTTTCTCGTCGTTGGAGTGTAAGCATCACTGTGATTCTATCCGTGATAAATTGTTTTATAAAAAACAGTTATAAGTTGCTTTAGTCAATACTGTATTAACCACACAGTTGGTACTTCGGTGGACGCAGAAGAAGTAAATAAAGTTCGGGGATTTTAACAGGATTTATCCAGTAAAGTGCAGAAGAAAATTAACAACAACATTTGAGGTTAGAACATTCAAGTACAAAATCTGACAAATAAAATACTTAATGTCATTTTGTTAAGTTGACATTAACTTCAGTGTTGCTAGTACATGAAAAATAATATCGACCATTTATATTACATTCCATTCCACGTTACTTTACATATAAATATGGAGGAACAATTTTAACTATTATTCGACAATATGAAGATAGAAATAATATATTTTTTATTTTATAATATATTTTATTGTTCTCTCTCACACAGATATGGTTACAATAAACAATCTTACTCTAGGTTATTTTGAGTGAGTCTGTGTGAGAGACTGGTATCTGTACTAGGTTCGTAGACCTGTATGACAAATTACCAGCCTCCCCTAGCTCTGGACGGTTGTGGTGCGTTAAGCAGGTACAACCTGTTTAGGAGTGAGTAGTTATTATTATGTGAAGTGAATGAGAACGCATAGTATGTGAATGTGTGTATATGTGGGTGTGTGTGTAGGGGAGTGGGTGTGTAGTGTGGTTTGAGTATTTGTGTGGATCCTAAACTCTAGGGGGACAGCGCATTTCAAGACGGGACCTGTAACAGGCTCTCTGTTTCCTCATAGCTAAGGGACTTTAGCCAGCGATTGGCAGCGGTTTTGCAACCGTATTTTGTACATGAATATATATGCAATATCTGGTTAACTTTATTGTATATGTATCTACCTAGGCAACCAAAGAATTTGCGAGTTTACAAACCATCTATTGCCCTTATCATTTGCGGGACAGACTTTGTGCATCAGGCAAATGCAAAAGCAAACAGCTGATGTAACTGAATCACTTATAAAAAAACTTAATGGATAGGATGGATGAAAAACTTACCCCTATTAATGAAGAAATGAACAATTAAACAAAAAGTTAGTGATCTAGAGAAAGAGATGGAATATTTGTAAAGCGAAAAGAAAAGTAGTAATAAGGTGGAAAACTCGACATCGGAGCTATTTAAAAGTGTCAAGGTGACTCTTAAATAAGACCTAAACATAAATATAGAGCAATCCGAAATAAAAAAAATATACCGCTTAGGCAAAAATATAGTTTAGAATAAATCAAGGCAAGGCCTATGTTCATTTCTAAATGCATGGCGAAAAGATGAAATTATGGAGAATAGAAAGAGTTTTAAGAACATTTATGTATCGGAGAATTACTCGAAGGAAGTTTTAAAAGAAAGAAAAGCACTGCTACCACAGTTGAAGGACCCCTCCTTCAACTGTGGTAGCAGTGCTTTTCTTAAAGAGAAAACGGAAATATAGCTTTTCTGAATTACGACAAACTAGTAGTCAAAGGATCCAATACTGAAAAAAGTAAAAGGGAACCAACCTCGCCGTCACTTTCCAAACCTCAACCCAGAAAACAGCAAATTTTATGCTCTACCAAAGTTAACAGGAAAAATGTTTTCGATGCAATGATACCAATAAACCTACAAGATCGAACTCTTCTACCAATAAACCTACAGCCAAAAATCAATTCTAATTAACCGGTAAACGGAAAATTCAAACATACTAAGAAAGTAAACAAACAGAAGAAATATATTTTCCCCCAATCCGACTGGTCCTCGTGGGGGACAAAGACCATAACCCTCCAACAACACAGAAAAACAAATACAAAGAAAATATACGTCGCAGCCCTTAACGTACTCACGTTGAACAATGACGAAAATCTTATGAATAACATGCGTTAAAACAAATCAAATCGGATATCGTCGGACTCAGTAAAATTAGACAAATGGGAGAAAGAATTATTTCTCAACCAGACTTCTTGCTGTACCATATTAGAACGACGCCAAGCCACCATGACGTTGGTTTCCTCGTCAAAAAACACCTTGAAAAATCTATAGAAGGATTTATTGGAATCTCGCAGTACATGGCAATGATGCATCTGAAGTTATCGGGATATAAAGATTCATGGTCAGTTTTACAAATATATTTACCAACAGAACAATGAGCCCTGGAAACAATTCAGAAATTCTACCTTGGCTTAAATAACACTAGCCACGAACATGCCCACAAAAACCTAATCGTCATGGGAGACTTTAATGGCCGAATTGGAGCTAAGCGCCCAGAAGAAGAGACTGTACTAAGACCATTCATCTACAGTAAATATTAAAATATTAAAAAAAGAATAAAATTAGAAGTAGAAATGTAGAAAAACTTATAAACTTAACACTAGAAAATAATTTAACCATTTTAAACTCAGTATACAAAAAAACACAATGAAAATGTGGACATAGATTTCACCAGATATGAAAACAAAAAATGAAAACGATTTCATAATGCTAAACAACTGCTTTCCAAATTTGTTGTCATTAACAAAAACTTCAATAGCAACCATAGACTGATCAGAGCTGAAATAAAATCAGTACAACCAATGATACCTAGACCGAGACAGGAACTAGCAATTGGTAAGCTCAGTAAGCATCAAATGGAGCAACTATTAGTCACCCTAAGAGATAAATTCACAGACTTCAATGAGAACACAAAGGCTATGGGAACTCAGGAAAAATACAACTGGATAGAGAATACTATTAAAATTCAATTACAACATACTGCTAAGATCAGATCTGAAACAAGAAAATGGCTAACAACTAATACCATTAAATTACTAGAGCAGAGCAAAGAAACCAACTAATCAACGCAAAAGAAGTAAAATATAGAAGAAGGCATTTAGCAAAAACCAGTAAAGACATCAAAGAAAGTATAAGAACAGACAGAAAAATGAATAGAATGGAAACTATAGAAAAACATGTAGCCAAACGGGAGGTGTTGAAAAAGCTCATAAGGAGTTAACAATTTCAAAAGACTGGATCGCAAAAATTAAAAATGACAGCCTACAATGGAACCACCACAGAACCAACATATTAGGAATCGCCACATCCCATTACAAAAAATATATGAACACAACACCGCTCGAGACAAAAATGAACTAGCAGAAATCTCAAATATCCCTAACATCCTTCAGACGGAAGTAATAAAAGCTATAGATAGTCAAAAGAAAGACAAAACACCCGGGCCCGTTGGTATAAACAACGAAATCCTAAAAGAAAGCAAAGAAGTTATAACACCTGTCCTCACTGACATGTTTAACGAGATATTAAATACCGAAATTATCCCACGGCAATGGATAGAATCAAACATTATTCTTCTATATAACAAAGGAGACAAATATGAAATCGGGAACAACCGCCTTATCAGCCTTATGTCCAACATATACAAGGTATTTGCCAAGATCATACTTAATCGGATTGAGAAAATATTAGACGAACAACAAACCATTGAGCAGGCGGGTTTTCGTAAAGACTATTCAGTGATCGACCACATTCATGTAGTACGCCAAGTTATGGAGTAATATTTAAAAAATCAATGTACCTACTACATCGCATTTATCGATTATAGCAAAGCATTCGAATCTTCTTGTCCACGGTGGCGGATTAAGAATACGGGGTGTCACCACCCCTATTTATCCCGTGGGTGTCTTAAGAGACGACTAAGGCAGCAAACTTCGCAGGACAACAGCACTGCAAAGAGAAGGAAAACTTGAAACAAACCCTATACCAACCCGTCTGGCCAGCGTGGTATAGTAGGTCAAAACATTCTTTCTAAGGAGAGGCCTATGACCAGCAGTGGACTGTTAAAGGCTGTTGATGATTGATGATGACGATGATACGATTCTTGTATCACGATAAGATATGGGAGTCATTAAAAGAGCAAGAAATTAAACTCAAATACATCCGCTTAATAAGGAATGTTTACAGCCAGAGTACTGCGAGAATCCAACTAGAAAAACCTTTCAGAGTAGGCAAAGGCGTACGACAAGGAGATCCCCCATCACCAAAAATATTCTCAGCGTCAATCTCGGTATCAATGTAGACGGTGTCTCGTTAACTTGAAATTCGCAGTTGATTTTGTGTTATTTGAAAAATGCCCGGAAGATATAACAAAAATGATAAACGAACTGGCAACGGAAAGCGAGAAGGTAGGGTTAAAACTGAACCCAAGAAAACATGAGTAATGACTAACAGAGTCTCTCTCCTATCATACTATAAATTTAGAAAACAACCAAATTGATTATACATATATATTTACGTGGCACAGCTAATAACAGATGATAATCCGATGCGCGAAGAAGTTGAAAGAAGAATAACCAATTCCTGGAGTACTGGGGTTTGAAAGAGAGTATGAAAGATAAAAACCTTCATATGAATATAAAAAACAAACTATTTAATAGGTACTTGCATACTACCAGTTCTCATGAAAATGGACCTCAAATTTGCCAAAGGAGCATGAATGTGAAAAAGTCAGACCGACTACGTGTAATATGAAGCAAAACAAAGGTCATGGACATAACGTGTAAAATTAGAAGGCTTAAATGACGGTGGGCAGGCCATATGATAAGAGGAAAAGACAAATGGAGCCAAATTGTGATACCATGGTATAGTAGAGAAGGTAAAAGGAAAAGAGGTAGTTCACAAAAAAGATGGGATGACAACATAAGACAAGTGGCAGGCGTTTGAACAGAGTGACTCAAGTAAGACATGAGTGGAAAAGGTTGGCGGAGACCTTTGTCGACTTCCAGGAGGCGGCGCGCCTGGCGGCCACGGGAGTTTCCCAGGTGGTCGGACGCATTGAGGCGTTGGGATTACGGGTGGCCCTGGATAAGACGGAGGAACTATTATTTCATGGGCCCGTCGTGGTCCACCCGCCGGCGCCTCAATCGAGGTCGGCTCGGTCCTCGTACCGGTCCGGGCCCAGATGAGGTACCTGGGTCTGGTCCTAGACGGTAGGTGGCTCTTCGACGAGCACTTCCGACAGCTTGGTCCGAAGTTGGTGGACACTGCCTCCGCCCTAGGGCGACTTTTGCCCAACTTGGGCGGGGCCAATGTTCCCACGAGGCGGCTGTACGCGGGGGTTGTCCGGTCCATGGCGCTGTATGGTGCACCGGTGTGGGTGGCGGCTCTGACCGCCCCGAATAGGGCGCGCCTCTGCGAGAAGGTAATCTCGCAGAAGGAGGTGGCGGAGAAGGCCCGGGAGGACGACCTCCACTTGGACCTGATCCGCCGCCGGCGAACCGAGCGGCGGAGGCGCGCTCACCTGCGCCTCATGCCGCCCTGAGTGTGGCCGCGGGTGGACGGGATGGGTTCTCCCCTCCACCCGCATTAGTTGGCCAGCCGCGAGGGGGCGGCGTCCGCGTGTGCCGGACGTCGCCTAAAGAGAGGGTCCACTGAGACGGAGCCCGCATCAGGAGCGGGCCGGCGCTGGGAGGGGTCCAGAAGGCGATAACTACCTGGACCCTTAAGGTTTACATTAAATTTAAGTTTTCTACGTATTTTGTCATATAATTATAATATGGATCTGAAGAAAAAGGCTATATTTTTAATATTTACATTTCTTTACATCTTCTTGGAGCAACTGAAATCTTAACTACCTTTTATGTTTTGTTAAGAGTTCGTTCTAATACCTGAACACATGAAGGTTGCCGCTAAATTCATAAAACAAAATTGATCAATAAATTCTCTTTATAGATAGATAATCATCAACAGCCTTTAACAGTCCACTGTCGGACATAAGCCTCTCCTTAGAAAGGAGGTTAAGATAGACAATACTCTATTTCTACGCCAAGTTTTACAGACATTATAAAGTAATTGAACGTCCAACTGTGCAAAGTTATCGATTAGAGCAATTTCTTCCAGGCAACCTTTGGACGGCATGGATTCATTTTAAACTGGTGGTAGGTATATAAAAGTTCGAGTAATAAATAAGGTAACTATGAAATATTTATATTTCTCATACACAAATTTAAGTAATATACTAGTTTTTTGTTGGGTTTGTCTTCTATTAATTGTTTCTATTAATATTCATCTCGGATATAAACATTTCATGTGTTACCTATCTACCTGTATCTCACTATTTATATGTTTACCTATGTACTCACTAACCTGCGCAGCGGAGGGCAGTTCGCGGCGCAACCACAGCAGCTCACTTTGGAGCCGCGCTCGTATCGCGCCATGCTCCTCTTCACTATCCTCTAGCGAATCTGCGCAACCTGGTACAATATTATCTTCGGATTTTATCGACACATTCTATTATTACAATAGTATTATATTATTAGAATATTAATAATGTCGAATAAGTACCATAACCTAAATCCTCTAGTAGTTCATCGAAGGGTGCGTTCATAAGTGTCGAGCCTGTGACGTTTGCATCGTGCGATTTACGTATTAATTCTGATTCTTGTTCTGGAGTTGCTCGCGATCCTGACGTAACACAAACAAATTACAATTAGTGCATTACAAACCGTTCCGATCTAGATATAAATCCTCACAAAGAATAAATGCCACACAACCGATATACATTTAGTGGTCGACAGATCAAATCACATCGCTTTGACGTCACTATCAAACAATCAACGGCAAGGTTCTAGTTACGTAACCTAAGTACCTCTTTTAAAACCGCCCATGACTCGCTATGGAGCTGTGTTGTGTGTGGCTGTGCGACTATTATTAACGGTAGCAGTAAAGAAATCAAAATGATGTAAGTATCACTGGCGTGATACAAATCACAATACATTTACCAGACCCACAGAGACATTGAATCTATTAAATGATCAAAGATTTGAAATGACCGCCGTTAATTCAGGGTTACAATCAATTTAAGTATAGGCTTACCTGGTGCGCGGGTGATATTTTCTTTAATCCAACGAGTTACGCCTGCTGGACCCCAAAGTGCTGGTGACGTACCCTCGTCTTCGTCTTCATCATCCAGTTCATCTAGCGGAAGCTGCCACACCGCGAGCTCCCCCGCCAGCGTACCAGACACCAGGAGTGGTGGTCCTGGTGAAGAGCGTGCCAATAACGCTACTGCCAATACACCACCGGCTCCAGCCGCTTGTGCTGCGGCCACCGTCCGTAGAGCCATAGTTTGCGGCGTCACACGCCATACGCGCGCCCATCCATCCGCCCCCGCGCTTGCAAATAGCGCTCCTTCCACTCCCATCGCCCTGGACCATCGCACACTCGCTGCGCCACCGCCGTGTGCCTCTACCTGACGTACCAGACTTACGGTCGCACTCAGGACTTCTCCATCTTCCTTGCAACATATACAAAAGAAATCACTAGGTCTAATAACATGATAACAGATAAAATCAATATTTCATACACTTTGTAAAAATGATCGGAACAGATCGGTTTCATGAACTTTACTTTATTATAATAAAATATTAGAAACTAAATAAAACATTGTATTATGTTAAATCTAAATGCACAACTTATGTAGATAAACACCGCATGCACATAATCTGATAAAATTTAGAAATAACAAAAAACAAAGGTTATCCAAAAAACGAAGAAACAAATGTTACAAAACTTAAAATATAGTACCCATCTCTGAATACAACAGTAATTGGAAATAATAAATGAAAGTTAATATTAAAAAAAGAAAGAAACTAAAACCCTATACCCATCCGTCTGGCCAGCATGGTATAGTAGGCCTAAACCTCCTTTCTAAAGAGAGGCCTATGTCCAGCAGGTGACCATTAAAAGCTATTGATTTAATGCGATGCGTGACAGCCTAGTAAACTCATCACTTTATCTAAACAAACTTCAATAGTTTGTTTAGATAAGGTGATGAGTTTACTAGACCCAGTGTCTCAAAGTTAATATAATAATTATCCCTTTATTTCAGAATCGCCATAATCGGTTAGTCTTGCTGACGTTTCGGACACTTCTCCGAATTGTCAGAATTGTTTGTCCTCGTCTAAGTTAAAGGGGTTTAAAATGATTTAAAATGGTTTGTAAAAATATAGTACTTGGAGTTCTTTGGGCTCCACGCCTGTCCACGCTTTCTAAAAGGCTGGATACCTAATGTGCGTCGCTAACATATTAGTAGATACTTACTTCGTGTGTTTCAATGAGCCATAGTTTTATGAAGGAGTCGGAGCCCGCCGTCGCCAGCACGTGGGTGTCGTCCGGAAGTTCAAAGTCACCAGAAGACGGCGCAAAGTCGCAGCTTTGCACTCCTGACACAAACGTAATTTGTCTGTTAATGGTGTGTGCAAAATGTGAATATCTTCTTTAACACTACGCTAGTAGGTTTGATTGATTTGATTGTAATTTTAATATCATCATCGTGGTAAGCAAAGCAGAAAAGTCACTGTTCTTTATTCTGTTGACGGTCAAATAGTCAGATAGAATTAGCGAAAAATGGGTCTAGAAATCCTGAAATTCATTTCATTCATTTCAACGCGAATCCGTTCGTGAGAACATTGTCAAAAAACTGTCAAAAACGGTTAATCGCCTATTACAAGAAAACTTCAAATCGCACTAAAGAAAGCACAAACAAAATGTGACTTGTAGAGTCTCGTTTGCTTAAATAGTTTGTTGACAATTTAAAAAAAATATAACTCGCGTTCTAATCAATATTAAGACCCCTAATTTGATGAGAATGTGGGTTTTGTAGCCTCCAGTTAGCCCATAAAATATCAGCAAGATCTAAGAGAGAGAATGGCTCTAAAAAATTTGGGAAAACTATGAATGATTTTCTAAAAACGCTTTTGTACATACAGATTTCCTCTGCAACGTCGTAACATGCCGTTTTATTCAGTTAAGTAAAAATACTGAAAAAGTTGATTTACAAAAATTGCAAAATTTGAGTGAGAGTGCGCGGAATTAGGCGTATAGTGGCCAACAGCACGACTGTCCCAAATCAAAACCCAGTAAGTGTATTTTAACAAATTTTAAAGGAGAGCGCAAAAACATAAAAGGCACTAGTGTTACAAAAGTATTAGTGTTAAAGTAAAAAAATGATATTTATTCGATAGAGTTACCACTGATTACAAAAATAAATGAGTAAAATGTTTTATCCCCCTTACGAGTACTAACTTTGAACATGAACAAACTCCACTTTTGTCTCTGTCCTGAGCCGTTGCAAAAACTAGTATAAACACTTGCTAAGAATTAACGAAATTCTCCCTGACTAAAAGAGGTATTAAGAACTGTGTGAACTCTCACACTTTTCCACAAAATTTACGTAATAACCTTTTGAGAGGGAAAGTTAAAAATCTTTTTTAGTGTTAGCTTCATACCGAAATATAAAGATTTTCTTTATTTATTTATTTCTTTTTGTACGAAGTCCTAATACACAAGGGTATTAGAGAACACCATTGAGACGCCGTATTAAACACAGAATTACTATAAAAATATGAGAAAATGAGACAAAAATATGTATTTAGTTTTTCTACATAACTTTTACATAATTCAATGCATTTAGAATACCGCTTCTCTAACCTTCTTATTCCTTCCGCAAAAAAAAAACATTTTCTTGACAATGAAAAATTAATCTACGGCAACTATTACTGCATCATCATCTTGCGTGCAGATATGCTTCTTTAATTTTGGGAATAAGTAAAAATCACTTAGTGGTCGTTAGATCCTTATCCCTGTAGACTACTGCGTGATGTTACCACAGTATGCTGTTTTTTTGTTTATTTCAGGTGGTGGCACTTCTTTTATGTGTTTTAAATCCTTATAGACTTGTATAACTTTTGTCTACTCTTTTTTCAGATTAGGGTCTTTATTTAATCTCTTCTCTAGTTGTACAAATATTTTTAGTGCTATTTCCCTTGTATTTCCTTACGGGGACTTTTATTTGTTAATTTTAAAAGGTAATTTAACAATGTAACGATGTAACCTTTCTTGTTTCGGGTATATGTTTTCTCATAAATTTCTTCACATAATTTCTCTTCTTTAGTATAATTTCTTTTTGTATTTGTATCAATCTCCCATATTGTTTTTAGCGTGGTGACTCCGGCGAACCTTTGATCAAAGTCTCTTGCAGGATTTGTGCATACACTTTGACATCCAGAAGATCTACTTTTCCTGATGTACAATTTTCAGGATCCGCTTATTCAAGATCAGTTAGATGTGGCCACGTAGTTGACCATGTTTCTGCAGGTATTAGAATTGAAAAATGCACATGCCATGGGTCTGTATGGGGAAACTAAAGTGACGGTTGCAGCGTAATAAAACTTCTACCTGCACTTCTTATTTAACGACAACTTTGATGGCTTACAATTCTGTGACAATTTTATTTGTACAGCGTCTGGTTAGTTTAAGAACTTGAGCAGCCTTTTCACTCCGAAAGCATGCTTGTGATCCTAGATCTAATAACGCCTTGAGTCCTTCCTTACTCTGCATTATTACCATTGCTGTAGCTAAGAGACCCATGTTTTGTTTGGCATTGTAGTAAGACGCAATCATTGTATTTACTTGCAGCTTTTCTTCTCCATCTGTTTGAGTTGACCACCGGTTATAGTACCCGACGAAGCCGAGGCATCAGAATTCTTAAATTGATGTAGAAGAGAATGTTGGCGTCTGTTGCAAACCCGACATGACATTGGCACACGGCATTTCACAACCGCATGTCCTGGTGCCGAACAGTTAAAACACTTTAAAACACAAAAACATAAATAAACTAGCCATCAACCGAAGCTTCGCCCGTGTGGATCTTGGTTATCGTTATCGTTTTTGTTAATAAAAAAAAATACCGGCCAGGTACGAGTCGCCGAGGGTTCCGTACCTACCCAGATTTTACGTAGATTTTCGCGAAAATTTGTAAGTACCAAAATTTATCTTAACTTTCAACTTTTTTTATTTTTTGGAATTATTCCTTTATTTGTGCTGTAAGACGTTTCTTGTTGCTAAATTTCGTGATTATAGGTCAACGGGAACTACCATATGGGTTTTCGACCCAAAACCTATAGGGTACTTCCGGTTGACCTAGAATTGTCAAATTTTTGTTAAAAGCAAACTCTTACAGCACAAGTAAAGAGAAAATTCTTAAAAATAAAAAAAGTTGAAAATTAAGGTAAATTTTGGTACTTACAAGTATTCGTGAAAATCGAAATTTGCCCATATCTTTTTATCGTGTTGACTCAGGACCTTGATTTTTATACACCTAATAGGGACCATATGCCTCAGTATCTGGTATAAATTTTAACTCGCTAAGTCTACTCGTTCCTGAGAAAATCGGTGGTGACACACGGACAGACGGACAGACGGACCAGAAAGTGATCTTATAAGGGTTCCTTTTTTTACCTTTTGAGGTACCGAACCCTAAAAAGTGAGTTTTTTCCCTCTTAAGATATTCTCAAATTACTGTATTTGCTTTTAAGACGGTTAACATTTGAAAAAAGTGAAGAGTACGCAACTATTAAAAATATTTTCCTCTACACATCATTTATTACTTCTGTCGGATTAATTGTAAAAACAAACAGATTACTTTTAGATGTCACCCTTGAATTTTGAATTTATCATATCTTCTATTTATTTGATTCATACAGTGTGAAGGACAATTTTAATTTGTATTAAATCCCGAAGCTAATGAACATATTTATTTAGATAAGGATTAATCCTAAAGAAAAGAAAAAAGCTTCGAAAATTACGTAATATTTTTCATTTATATTTTGAACATAAAAGTAGTTATTGTGAGTCAACCGTGAGAGAGATATACTTTGTTGTAGCATTATTATAGATCTACAGTTCTCTAGTACATTACTTTAATATACCTCTGCTGGTTTATGCAGCGTTCGCGAGTAAAGCTCCCAGTAGGCGAGATTTTTTGCAACCTCTTCAACATTAATAGCTATATTTCAGTCAATTTACATAAAACCATAATGAATTATTCCTTCCTTAGGAATCACACTATTTATTGGTCCAAACCTTACAAAAATCCTGTAGTTTTTGAGTTTACGTTCATACAGACAGACGTATGAACGCGATAGGCGGGTTTCTAATATGTAAGGGTGAAGCCATAAGTTTACCTAGGTCGTGTGCGTGAGGCTCGTGGTGCAGCACGCAGGCGCGCGGCGGATGCGCGAGCACGCGAAGCTCGCCGCTCGCCGCGCCCGTCGCCGCCACGCGACCGTCCCGCGACCACGCGCAGCACAACACCGCCTCCGTGTGGCCCGCGTACACACTGACCGGTAACAACACACCGTCATCTACTTACGAGTTCCAAATTTATTCGTAAACACGACACACGAATGAAACGAAACGAAGCGAAATAAAATGAAATCGTTCAACAATTTTGCATGTTCTTTTAGGACAGATGAGTGCGGCCTTTTCCTAACTGGACTGGCCCTGACAAGAAAAGAAGAAACAAACTCAAGAAATTAACTCAGAATACATTTATCTCTCAGTAAAAAAAAGCATAATCATTTATTTATTCATTTTTTTTTATTATTTCTTATATTTTGGTTCCTATTTAGTATACCGTTGTATTAGTAATTTAAAAAGTAGCATTTAAGTAAAAGTTAAAAAGTAGCGTTTCGCTTAATTTATAACAACATTAGTATGTTGTTATAAATTAAGCGAGACCTCAAAGAACGGTTCAAGTTCCTACATGACACACATGAAAAGTGTCTGAGGTCATCCGAAGATTTGAGGCTTGAGATGCCTCTGCATTCTACAAAATTTTACGACCAGTCTTTTACTGTTCAAGCTGTACGCTTGTGGAATGCACTGCCGATAAACATAAGGCGAGCGAAAACCATAAACAGCTTTAAGAAAATGGTCCAAGAATTTATGGTATCGTAATTAAGACAGCTACTTCCTCGTGTTAAGGTATGATTTGAATGCTTTTCTTTTTTTTTTGTTATATGTGATATTGTATAAGTACTTATGTATGTATAAGTATTTGTTTTTATGAATATAAATATGTATTTGTATTTGTATATATATATTTCTTATATTATATATATAAGTAGATATTATTTCTTTTATATTCGTTAGTAATTAACCTGAAAACTCATTTCACAATCAACTACTACTATCTCTCCCGAACATTTTGATCCATCCTATGGTTGCCTGGAAGAGATTGCTCTTAGCAATAAGGCCGCCCTTTGTACATTGTATATCTAACACTTTCATGTAACTATCATGCTTCTTGTAAAATGGTGTACAAATAAAGAGTTCTATCTATCTATCTATCTATCTAGGTTGTTATAAATTAAGAGAAACGGCTACAAACTGCTAGCACAGTTTGGCGAATGGCACATGTTACTTAAATGTGAACGAAGTTTATTAAAAAAACAGTGGCACTCCGGGAGTGCCAACAGAATTGAAAACTTTTTTACTTATGTACAGAGGAGTAACGGTAATGGTAACAGTGTCGGGAGTTCAATCTTTTTTTCCCATCTCAAAAAATGAGTTTTTTGTAAAAATCGTAAAATACATTATTTTAAGATAAGAACAAAATTAAAGACAAAAATGAACGAGTGAAAATAAACCATAGCATGTACAGAATGAGCAGCTAAATCCCAGGAGGTTTAATCATAGAGATATTCTGCAATGGTATAATAGCCTTTTGTAGATAACTTAGACATAAACTTAGATTTACCTAATATCTACAGAGTGTTTATTGTAAAAGCGTTTATATTGTCCCTTGAACGAGTTGCCTACTCTGTGGAGGCGAGTGACATTAGCACTAAGATTATGTTTATTTCTAGTATTCACAGAGTTAACGTCAGACAGTTTAGTAAACTTCGAGATATGTTTTTGGACATACATTAAATTTTCATATAATTATGTATTGTGCAGATAAAGTCAGAACGTTTATCTTATTGAATTTATAACTGGGAGAAACTCGAGGGCCTAATTTGTAAATGGCTTTATACATATAGTTTCTGTAAGACAAGTTTAGCGTTAAAATCTGCACAGTTATGTGTCATCCGCGAATAATACAATCTCATTATGAGCTAGATTATTGATATATATGAGGAACAGAAATTTTATTTTATTTTATTTCTTTGAACTCACGCGCCCCTAGTGCTACTTGTATTGATAATATTTTTACAAACCTAAAACCTATTAATCTGACTTATTAATTGCAGGCAGTTCATTATCATGAAACAAATTAGTTATGCTCCAGAGAGCCACATAAGCCTGTTCAGAAACAAAAGAATAGATACGAGTAAGTTGTCCAAATTGTCCTATGACATTGACTCTAATCAAACTTAAGCTCAATGACGATAAATATGTGTTGAAGCAATTCCGCGCCCACGTGCGTAGTCGAACAACCTTTTGTTAATCGAAATTGCTTGATGAAGCTAGTTATATTTAGTAAAATGTCGTAACATTTGGTTTAAAAGCAATTTTTCAAAGATATACTCAATGCTGGATGTATTGAAATAGGTTGGAAATTAAATGGATCAGAAATACTGCCAAATTTTAATAATTCTTCTTGCAATGACTGGATTTACTTTATTTTGTTTCATACAATTAATTCTTCCGCCGCAGATCTTATGCAGCGATCCCTTCCATGAAGGGAGCGTGGGGTGGACTTAAGATTCTGTCGTATTGTCATACAGTTTTGATAGCGATGACATATTTTGTTGTAGCGAAATAAAATAAATCGGTCAGTTCAAGTGAGAAAAATCCTTTAGTGGCTAGGGCTACGGGCACACTACACTAAAAAAACTTTTATAATTAAAAAAGTTTATAATTACTAACTATGTAGGGCGCGGATCGGCGCAGCCAAGGCTCCAGAGCGGCGCGATGCCGTCGTCCGTAGCGAGCAGCAGGCGTGGCGGGCGGTGCGGCGAGACCCGCGCTCCGCGCACCCCTCCGCCCCCCGCCTCGCCGCACGCCGCTTCGTCCACACCTACGCTCAGCACGCGCAGCTGCACGCCCGACTGTGCACATACGACATTCATTTAGCATCCACAATAATTCCCATCAGTGGCAGATCCTAGCCTAGGTTCGATAGATCCTGCAAAACGGCGTCCTACCGAAAGCAGTAATGTTACCAAACATGGGCTAATACAGCGACGGCATGTGATGTAAATGCGCAAAAAAAGCAAAACAACTTTGCCTCTAGGTCCCTCAAAAGAGCCATTGCGAAGGTGGAATCGGAGCACATCAACCCGATCGGTCGGGGCTTGTGCGATTTCGTTCTGGAACTCGTGTATTCTGGTCTCATGCCAAGGCGGTCCAAGGGAATTTATGTAGCCAATCCTTTCCAGCCCTGCAGATGGGCGATAATTCGTTGGCCTATGATGCAAAGGAGAAAGCCGATCTTATAAGCGAACTTGCATCCAATTCAACTTTGAAAAGTACCGCCGACCATACCGCGATGCCAGAGCTGTATGCCGGAATGCTGATTCACAGAGAAATCAGTGCGTAAAGCACTCTTTTCCCTCGATATTCATAAGTCGAGTGGACCGCCTCGGCCGCAACTTTCCGCTATCGTATCGTTCCACAACTCAAAATTTACATTCCCATCACTTGAATAAGTGGCACTCCACAGCTGTGCGCTTTTCAAGGCACTTTTTGTCTTACACAACCAATCTGTGGAACAAGATATCGTCTGCGGTATTTCCGAACCGATGCGACCTTTATTCCTTCAGAAAAAGAGCGTATTTCTACGCGTTTGTGACTCCTGAGTTGCAGGCGTTCATGGGCGGCAGTAGTGGCTTTCCATTGGGTGACCCGTCTGCACGTTTGCCCCCTTTTCCATAAACAATAATGTCAAAATCACAAATATAATCTAAATTTAGACTATATTTCTAGACTGTTATTTAGTATTGGGTGTGAACCTCGACATCCCACAGGCAGGCACGTCCATCGAGGCCAGCGCTGAGCAGCAGCGCTCCGCTGGCGCCGAAGTCTGCCGCCATCGCCGGGTACTGATGACCGTCCAAGGAGTGAACTTCGACCAGCTCACTTGTCTCCTTGCACCAGCGATACAGCCGCACCCACCCGTCGCTGTGGAAATGCCCCGCACAACATGTCGTGAACAAACAAAGCAAATCAAATGCCTGTTAAGTAGCGTACACGTCTCAGAAAGGCCTGGAAAACGCTACTAAATTGAGACAAATTATTATTATAAGACCATTTATGTACACTTCACATCACATCAACAGCCTTTACTCATCCACTGCTGGACATAAGCCTCTCCTTAGAAAGGAGGTTTTTTTTTTATGTACACTTGGTTGGCAAATAAATATTGATATCATTTACACGTTAACTGTTGAAGATCGACCATAATGTTAAAGAAACGGTGAGGGCAGGACGAAGAGCAGGACGTGGGGGGTTAACAAAAAACAGACGGGGACTACCGAGCTAACCGTCGCAGAGTGACATTCATGTTTTCCTCTATTACGTATTACGTATATGGTTGAAGGCATTAAAAGTAAAAAATTAGAGCATTAACTTCTTCATTTCATCGAGAAAATGAGATTAACATTAAAGGTTTCCGTCAGGTCGAATTTAGAGAAAATATTTAAAAATTATTAACAACATTTATTAAATATTTTTTTATTAAAATATTTGTGTCTAGGCACATTAATATTGTAATATTAATGTGCCTAGACAACGCACGGCGCGTTCATTAGCAACGAACGCACCGTGCGTTTTTGGTTTAAACGCTTTCGTAATGGAAACTTCGTCTTGAAGAACAAACCACGTGGAAGACCGCCCACACAGGTGAATAACGCTGAATCAAAGGAGATCGTGGCAGCCGATCAGAGTCAAACTACCCAGGAATTAGAGGCATGGTATAACGTACCCTACGTGCCTCATTTGTATCAAATCAATAAGATAAAAAATATTAAAAACGGGTGCCTCATGAATTGACTGATCTGCCGAAAGAAGTGCGTGTTGAAACTTGTGGTGCCTTATTGAATCGGTACAGAAATGAAGGAATTATATAATTTATCGAATTGTGACACGTGGCGAAAAGTGGATTGTTTATGATAACCGTAAGCGAGAAAAGAATTGGCTGACCCCAGGTCAAACGAATGAGGAATGGTAACTCTTTGCTGGTCTCTCATGGTGTTAATCACTATAGCTTTCTCAAGTCTTGAGTTTGATTTGATTCAAAACGTTTCAACAATATATTGTATTTGAGATTTTCTAAGTGAGTCGTAACCTTAACCATTGATTGGTTGATACCTGGATGCAGTTGCGACCATGTCGTCGTGTGTGCTAATGCAATTGATTGGTGCGGCGTGCGCCTGCGACCCACGCCACAAGCGCCTCGTTCCGTTCACAAGCTCCTCGTCCTCGCTCGCCGCTACGTGCTCCTCCTCCAATGACTCGTCCAGTGGCTCAATCCCCTGGAACACAGCCACACGTCACCATGCACAAATTTTGGGTGAGTCCGCTGTTGAGCACTCACCTCGAGATCTCCTAAAGCAAAATGTTCAAGTGCCGCACATGAAGGCTCCAGCTCGTCTTCAAGTGTCAAAGAGCCCAGCGACCACATTCTCACCGACTTGTCATTTGATCCTGTATTAACCAATGTTTAAGACTATTACACCCACACATGCTACCTATGCATACAGTACTGTATAATGTATTCACAAACAAAATTTATAAATTAAATGAAATCCTTGTCGATTACTTTTATTTAACAAAGACAGTCATGCGTACAAAGATTATGTTTGCTGAATTCCCCGCTGTACAAGCTGAATCGTAAGCATTTTTAATGTTGAAATAAATATTTATAATACTTAACTCAATAAATTCTCAAATCATAAAACAAAAACTAACCGGTGACCATATAACTGAGATCGGGGGCGAACGTAACACATGTGAGGTAGCGAGCGTGTGCGTGCACCACATGTAAACACATTGGCTCGTCGCCCACCACCCAGAGGCGCGCCGTGCGGTCCAGGGATGCTGACGAGAGCAACGCGCCACCACGAGCCCAACGTAACGCCGTCACCGCCGCAGCGTGGCCCGTCAGCTCTCCCGCCGGCGCCAATCCGCAAGGTCCCGCGCGCCACACGCGCACCACCGCGTCGTGTCCGCCCGTCGCCGCCGCGCCGCCCTCCTCCGTCGCGTCCGCGCACAGCGCACCCAGGTCGTGCGCGCCGTCTACCCATGTCAGCGGCACCGGCGATGGACCGTCATCGGCGCTGCTACGGCAAACCTCTGGCGACGTCCAATATTTATGAGTAAAACCAAACTTGTTACCATCATTTGAGACTAGAAGGAGCGGCAGACGATCTCAGTGTCTGATGTACCTGCAAGGTCGAAGACCTTGAGCACGCCGTCGGTACAAGCGGTGAGGAGAAGCGCACAGCGCGCGGGCGCTGCCACCGCGTACAATGCACCCTCATGTGCTTGCATTCGTGCGAGAAGTGTGGCTCGAGGCGTATTCCACACGCAGAGTGTTCCGTCGTCATGGCCCGCTAAAATGCGCGAGTGTGCCGCCCAGCAAAGCGCACGCACTGCTACCGCACCCGGCGCTGCTAATTCACGACGCGGCGTCAGCGTGCGACCGCACCACACCCGGATGGCTCCGTCCACACCCGCGGAGGCCAACAGCACAGCACCAGGTGCAAACCGTGCAGCAGTGATGCTGTAGCGGTGTGCGCTATCGACACGCGTAACCTCATCCCAGCCCCGTGAAGCCACCCAGCGCCACAGACGTAGCGAACGGTCACCGCCGCCGGACACAAGGAGTGCGCCTGCCGCATCCACGCATGACACCTCGCCACGGTGGCCGCGTAATGTCTGCAATAGCGTCGGTTCTCCGATCTCCCCCATGACCGTGATTTTTCTTCGATCTTATTAGCCTGAAGTCTCTATGTGTTATACTAAATCAATTCGGTAACAGAGCATTGCTCGATATATGGTGCCGTGGTAATTTACAGGCGCTCGACATGCGACCTCCACGTGCTGCCTCTCGAGCGACTGTGCCACTGACCAAACAACATCGCAGCTTATACACTGATTTAGTTTTCATCGTTATCTGTAATCAAATAAATTATTAGCTGCTAATCAAATAAAGTGTTTTGGTACTATTAAATGTTGTAAAGAACCTCTTTACACTCCAAAAGGCAGATACTAATTAAGTGATTATACAAAAAGCCATCATACTGTGATGCGTTTAGTTTAATTAATTGGTCAGACATTGGCACAGTACACTATGTTCGTTTACGAATGTACACGGTAACAATGGCGATGAGTAAACGTGATGTCAACGACAGCGCGCTGGGTGTGGGAGTTGGTCTGTGTCAGTGTATGACGTGGCGGCTCCGCAATCAACTACCCCATCATCGATCGCACAGCCCCACAGCCCACACAGCTCACACAGCCCCTACACACACACACACACGCACACACGTGGATGACACTGACCTAATAAGCTAACAATGTTTACTTTATAATCGTTCATAATATCGTAGCGCACGTTGTATTGACCACCGACTGGAACACAGGTGTGGCCTCGCACGCTATTGACACTTTGGGACTGCCCCCACTTATTGATCAGACATAATTACGAATACTGGCCACTATACGTCGATATGGCGTCAATACTTATAACGCTATTATCCCGGTAGAAGCCATGTTATTATGACCGTAATAACATACCTGCTGGAGGTGTGACTAACGCAAGCGATCACTAGAAGGAAGGTTTGTTACAGTAAAAGTATTGGAGTTCCCTTACTGCCAGACTTCATACGCGTAAACCACCAAATAATATCAGCCGTCGACGAGGCCTCGGGCCGTCAGAGAGTGGAGACCTCCGGTGTTAGATTAGGGCCTGCCGTAGGAGATAGAATACACGAAACATGAAAAACTAAATAAAAAAACATTTGCCCACATAACATTTCTACTCAAGAAATAGCCCGTGCTTAACGAGTCCCAAGCATTCTTGTAATCGACGTTCTGACATAGTTTACCTTTATTGATTTTAGGTTTTACTTCGATCGCTTGACTAAGCAGACGTATTTATTGTATTGGATAAAATATTCAAGATAAAAATCATAAATAATTTCTAATAAATAATTATTATGTAGCGTAAGTAATATCCGCTAAGTGTGTCATGAGCGAAAGTGATTCATATCTACTGTTTCTATTATCAAACTGTGTAATTAGCATGATCTAAAACAATCTTTAAACGGTGTATCAGTGTAAGTATCGATGCCGTGCCTAGGATCAAGAACGTTTCGCCGTAACCAGTTAATACGGAGGAGTCACATACTGATGCCCACATCAGTCGATTGATTAAAAACCGCTCCTGTCCTAAAAAAAGATTTACTTAGCCAGGTAATACCGACGTCGTAGATCCTGAAATGGATGGCAAAATGAACACGGAGTACGAATTTGGATATGTTAATGGTATTTGATAGTAAGCAAAGCCGTTCTACCTAACTATGTTCTTGTAGTACTATATCTCGTAACTGTATTCTTGAGGCTATCATCGACAGCCTTTAGGAGTCCACTGCTGGACATAGGCTTCTCCTTAGAAAGGAGGTTTTGGCCTTCTATACCACGCTGGACAGACGGGTTGGTATAGGGTTTGTGTCAAGTTTTCCTTCTGTTTGCAGTGCTGTTGTTCTGCGTAGTTTGCTCCCTTAGTCGGCTCTTACGACACCCATGGGATGAATAGGGGTGATGACACTCTGTATTCTTAATCCGTCACCACATGGACACGGACGGATTCTTGAGGTGCCGGCTAATATTAGAAAAGCGCTCATTACCAAGGGAGAATCTCAATAAACTGGACTTCTTTTGTTTAGTGAGAGACTTCACGTTAGTGACCAGGGCAATTCTGCTATTTTATGTTGAGGCCAAGCCACTGTCATTCCATTGACACGCTATTGAGATGCCATCGACTAGCCATTGACATCGGTGAAAATATTGGTAGTCTACACTAACTCAGTGTCTTTACTGTGGCAATGGAATGGCAGTGGCTCATCAGTGGCGATATCAAAAGATTGCCATATTTGGCAAATTAAATAAATCATTTCCTTACAAATGTATAAACTACGACATAATACACCTTAATTAATGCAATTATCGTTGGCTGTCTGTAAGTGCTATTGCCAAACGAAAAAAGTGACACTGACTTATCTATATCATTGAGGGAACGGACCGGCAAAATTAAAATGTTTTTTAAAAGAAATAGTAAGTACCTAAATAGTAATATTATCGATAAAATAAAATTATATTCTCTATTTCTGCAAAGAAATTACAGAAGTAATATAACACATTATTAATAACATTATGGTTTAACACGACCTAGTGCATCATTGTGTTTACTTTGAATTTTTATAATTCAAACTGTGATTGATTTGATTTTGGACGGAGTGCGGAAATATATGGTTTTCGCTAGACTGCCAAAGTAGAGAGTAGTGAGTATTAATTTACACAACAAATTTGTACCATTCTTCTGGGCAACCCTCCACCAATCTCTTTCTTTATGAGAAGGCAACAACGATGTTTCGTTAATCCCCTCTCATACATGATAAGTAAATAGTCCACCACGTTATCAGCAAATTTCAGCAAGCAAATTTTACACAACTTGACATGACGAACTCTCAGTTAAGCAAATTACCTTCTAATGCTGGTTGCTTTCACTGTTAAGGCAAGCGATAACTAAGTCTTTAGGAGCCATAACTTTCAGAGAAAAATTAGACTATAACTTTCTTTAAGCTTCTCACTACTCCGCTACTTTCTTTATTTTAATAATATCCTATTTTAAGTTAATATTATTATTTTCAGTTTTATAAAGAATACAAATTTAAAATCTAAGAAGATAGAGAAAATAGGAATAAAAAATCAGAGCGGCAGGTGATGAACTTTATAATTTTTTTGGTATTTAATAAAATAATAAGCATGGTAAATATACATAACTTTTATTGTGGAACTAGTATCACATATTTTGTTTTCCTAAGATAAACTGCAAGATGAACTCCAAGATGAACTGTTTTCAGGAGATGGGCCAGCAACTCTCATCACCTTAACACTCCTATGAGAGTGGTTATATTATATTATGGACAGAGATGTTGGGGAACCATTTGGAAGGTGTCCGCAATGTTGTGCTTGTTCCCTTGTCATATTTGAAAGTGAAGTGCTCGAGCAGCAAGCCTGAAAATAAATATTGTGAATTATATGTGGTAGTAACATTTCCTTTATTTTTCAGAAATTAAACATCCATGACCTATAGCTTTACCTCACATAATAAAAAACAATGGCTATGTGGAGGAACGGATGTCATGTGCCTCCAACACAAAGAGAGGATCCTCCGACCAGGGGAGGTGATCATGCCTGGCAGGCCGCGACCTAACGGTTGATGTTGGGAAGTTGTATATATGCTAATCGGCGAGAGTATTCTTCATATCGCCATACAGGATTCTACAAACAAATTTAGTAGTTACTCCGTAGTTCGTAGTTCGGTGTATCTTCGTTAGATGGCGCTGTAGTATGTTTCTGCTTTTCATTCTATATGGAAGTCGCCACAACTATGTTACCATTATATTAATATGTAGTATACAATTATTATTAATATGAAAAAACCATAAAACATGACATTCTTTTGATAGATTTTATTTTCATTAATACCTGCTGTTCGCATTCGCAACGAAATCGTAGAGCGATTGGTTCATTTTATTAATACAAAAGGTTGAATAGTTGGCTCGATAGATGGCGTTGACTCGAAAATTTGAATCGCGTTATGGTTTCGTTACCTACATTAGTTAAGAAGGACAAATATTTCTTCTGTGATATGTAATCCATCAACCATGTAAAACATCAAGTATGTATAACATCAAGCAAGAAAAAATCAAGCATTGTGACGGTATATAAAACGCGCTTAGTATTTAGTTCAGTGTTTAATTTCTAACCCTCTCCACGTTGACTTTTGTACACCTGCACTCGGTGTCTTTAGCGTGTCAACAGTATTGGGTGCAGTTACATGCAAATTATAATAGTAATGCTTTGCAGTTTTTCAGTTTTGTTAAAAAAAAATTGGAGTCGTCATTCACTTGCACATGGTGTATCACAAAATAATTTTTATTAAAATATATACTAAAATATATACATATATTAAAATATATACATAATAACAATACATTTTTAAAACTACTTGGCTACTTATTGACTAAAAACAAAACTATTCAATCAACTCAACTCAAACTCTCTTTATTTAAAAAAAAAAATAGACTCTAAAGTCATAGATCAACACACACAAAAGCAACAATCTCTGTTTTGTCAAATAGTAAGCAAATAATTTTAACAAAAATCAAACCCATACAAATTCTATGATATGCCTGTGCCGATCTACAACCGCCCGTTTCCAAGGGGTTGAGCTTTATGAGAAAAAAAGGGCAAACAAACTCCAAGGTCCAAGAAGTGGTACCACAGCTCCTCCGCAATGGTCTCCCAGGGGAGGGTGTTGAAGGCGTTCCAACGATACAGCCAACACCAACCTCACCCCCAGAGGCCGCTTCATAGACGCTGCCCCGTTAGGTTTTTCTTTTTTTTTTACGTGGTGGAATGCGTTTAACCACTTCGCTCGCCTCCCCCGGGGGGAGGGGGTTCGCTTCGTGTGGGACTCCTGACGGGCCATACTACCCACTAAACCACCACGTGGCAAGTACGGCGGCGTCGCAGAATGTTGGGGCCCGCGTGGTGACTAGGGTATCGTCAGCGTAACAGAGTACGCCGACTCCCCGAAGATTAGCACCGCGCAGGACCCAATCATAGCCTACGTTCCACAGGAGCGGCCCAAGGACCGACCCCTGTGGAACACCACAAGA